AGCGGTTGCGAAGACGAAAGACCCTGCCGCAGATCTCCGTGTCGTCCTGGCCCGTGCCAAACGAGCAGCTCAGGCGTGTGGAGGCAAGCTTGAGGACTTGTTGACTGTACGACGACACTTGCGAACGTCGCGGAATGTGGTTGATTCCTCTCTGCTTGGAGGCTTCATGGGACTTAGCAAGCACAGCTATAAGTACCTTGGGTTAGAATCAGCTATAAATATGGCTAGTTACTTTATTTATAACTCCAGTTACATCCCATGATCCTTGAATTAAGAAGTCTTTATAAGCGGATCCGTCATGTTTTCCCGGGCATATTCCTGAATTAGGAGATATTGCAGGTTCGTCTACTGGGCTCCGAGAAGCCGACAATCTTGGACACTAAGCCGTAAACCCTTCTAAGCTTAGGTGGTGCTGAGTCGAAGGCTTTTGAACTGCTTAGTAGCTGAGTGGATACACTTTACACTTTTTTGGGATAATATCACCCACTATAAAACTAAAAGTGTACACTTGTGGGGGCTTATGAACTCAGCAACTAAGACTCGGTTTGCCTTTGGCACATTTGATGTTGTCCCTTGTTGGGCTGAGGGTCTTACTTACGAACTTCTTTCTCTTCGTTTGATGATGAAACCAAACACCCTTGTAAGACCTCGTTTAGACCCTATGTTTCCTTGTCAAAACCCTTGTCAAGCCCAATAAAGCCGTGTTGCAGCTGTGTGCAGGCCGCAAGCAAGATTCTGGTGGGCACTTCTTCGTGAACCAGTTGAATCACGTGTTTATAGGCGTGGACCCTTGTGGGTGTTGGCTTTGGTTAGGGTCAAGGGTCTTGGGTTTATAGGAAGGTGGCTAGTACTAGTGCTGTCGGCTTGAAGCCGGGCAATGGCAGAAAGACTAGTCAGCATCTGTCCTTAGAAGCTCTAAACCCTCAACCTCAAAGATCCCCATCAAACCCTACAGCTGGCCTTTCAACAACCTTTTTAAACAACCCTTTTTTAGAAACCCTCTTTGAACCGCATCAGAATCCTATAGCACCCCCTATCCCACATGGAACCCCTTATCGCCCTGTTGAGATTGAGAACTCTCGTGTGTGCCTAAATACATAAACATGAACATGCACATAGACATGTACATGTGCATATACACATACATCATACATCTACATACACATGTACATATTTATTTACATATGTACATGTAGATATATATATATATATATATACACATGCCTATATATATATATATATGTATATATATATATGCACATGTGTATGTATATATATATATATATATGTAAAGGAATCCTTGCAAGAGCCCTTACAGAAGCCTGCAGCTTTGGACCTGGCAGGTTTGATCTTCTACGCCCTGCTTATGATACTTGATCAATGCTTTGGGTTTGGGGTTAGGGTTTGGAGTTTGGGAAATGGGGTTTAGGGTTTGAGATTTGGAGTTTTGAGTTTAACGCTGGAGATTTAAGGTGTAAGTAGAAGGCAGAGTTTTGAGTTCAGGGTGGTCCTTCCAGGCATTCGTGTTTCTGTTATGATGGGGGTGTCGGTCAGCGTCGGCTTCCAGATTCTCCGTCCTGATTGATGGAAAGCACAAACTGAATCCCTGGCGAGCATTGACCCCGCATCCCCAGTTACTCAGACATGCAACCGAACCGATGCATCGACAGACTCGGCCAGTTAAACCGAGCTGCACCGACGAACATGCCGAGCAGGACCCCTGAACCCACAGTCCCCCAAACCTAGACATTGTCGACATAGCCCGTGCAATAAACAAATATTTCGTGTGGGAACACCGACATTGTGTGCATACACGTGTATATATATATATATATATATATGTGTACATGGATACACATATGCATACATACATACATACATACATACATACATACATACATACAAGCATATGTACGTACATACATACACTGTGCAGTCAGTAGGCGTGATGTCTTCATGGTCATGTCAGGGCAGTGTGCTCACGCTTTAAAGAGACCCCTAAACCCCAATTTCGAATCCCTAAGCCCAAGACCTACGCAACAAATCCTGAAGATCATTTTAAAAGCAGAAGAGTCCCTTTTAGGGTTCTTTAAGGGTCCCTTTAAGGGATGTCATAAAAAGGCTTTCTTTTGACGACAACCAGGGCCTCCATGTGAGAATATGACCCCTAAGGGTCCATGTACTCAAGTTGTATACACTTACTCAAATATATATATATATATATATATATATATATATATATATATATATATATTTATTTATATATTTATATGTATATGTATATATATGTATATATATATATACATGTATATACTTTGGGCCCAATGTACCTGTATAGGGACTACTTTAAGGCCAATGTACATACTGTTTGGGTACCTGGACCCTTATACCTTCAAGCCTATAGAGCCCTTTATGGAACCCTTTAAAGGAATCCTTAAAGGAACCCTATTTGGGTACATGCACCCTTTGGGTGACTTCAAGACAAGGACAGGGATGATGCTGCGCCGCGCACCGACCTATGCCCCAGCAGCAGGCAGGTGTACTTGATGTACCCAGAGGCTTGAGGTTCCTTTAAAGGGATCTATAGGGGTTCTATAGGCGCTTCTTTAAATGGGTCTATAAGGATTCATACAAGGGATCTATAGGGTTCAGGGTTTAGGAGAGCCTCCAATATCCCTTAATTAAGGCATATTCCTTAAATCACGATAGGGATCCTGCTACAATTTAAGGTATATTCCTTAGTTTGGGGATATTGGAGCCTCTGGGTAGGGTTCAGGGTTTCTGGCTTAGGGCGTCATTCGGCTTGATATGGGGGGGTTTCCGAAAATTAGGGGTACCTCATTTTAGGGTCCTTATAAATCATAAGGATCCTACAATTTAGGATACTATGTCAGGGTCCCCTATTTTCGGAAATTCCCATATGAAAGGTTAGAAGTGACATGGTTTTAGATGTATGTACTTGCAACAGCAGTCAAGGCATTCTAGGCCCGCTGGTAACCACCCATGAAACGTCCGATAGGATTTACGCGTTTCTGGCTTTGGGTTTTTTGAAAGCTTTGCAGCAACGTCTTGGCCGATGTAGCCCTTCAGTTTTTAGAGTTTAGCGATTAAGTTAAGGGGTTGAGATTTCAGGGAAATAACTAGCTAGTTGAAATTAACCAAAACCCAAAACCAGTTGTTGCTTCCGTTTGTTGGTACCGTAAGCGCCATGTCTTGCAAGCTTCCCTTCCCAGATCCACTGCGAAGATCCAAACATCCTTTAAAGGTTTCCCTTGAGGTTTCCTGTAAGGAGTCTATTCGGATCTATAGGGTTGAGGGTTTGGGGCCTGGGAAGATCCACAAAGTAGATCTCTTTCCTATAAAGTGCTCTTTAGTAGTTCAGGGTCCCAACTTATGGGATCTACTTTCCGGAGCTTAACCGGTGCTGCCCCGGTCCTGTCTTCGCATTTCTGCTGCTCACTGGGCTACTACAGGGCCCCAGTCGGTGCAGTGTGCTGCTGTTGCTCCTGGAGTTCGCTCGATGCCAGGGCTATGCTGACCTCAAGAAGACGGGACCAAGCTGCCACGGATCTCTGAATATGACGTTTCATCTAATGCAGCAGGTGCATCCCGACTTGCACGAGAGCGTGACGGGCATCCACGGTTATCGCATCATGTCAACTTCGCGTGCGCAGTTGACCCGAATCCTGATACCCCTAAGCTTAAACCACTACCCCGTAGCCTTATCACCCTGTACCTTCCCAGATACCAGAAGCATCGGCAAAAGAAGACTTTGGGTGGTACGGTTAACGGTATAAACCCTGCATCACCCATAATAAGGAATATACCAAAATTCCCACAGTTAAGGGTCCTTAAGGTAATGCAGGATTTATATCATCAGCCGTAGGACGCCTTTTGGGGAGTTACACTTGTTTGACCCTTTAGGGATGCAAGTGTGGGAGTTTCCGAAAATTGGGTGTCCTTATCTTGGGGTCTTTATCATAAGTATCCTACAATTTAGGATACTATATTATTGTTCCCTGTTTATGGAAACTCCCATGTACAGTTCTGGAACAGCTTAATTAACGCACCGAGCAACGTGCGCACAACTTCACGCGGGCAATCGTTTTCAGCTCGCAAGAGCTTTACTCAAAAGGACTATGGGATCGAGTAGCTAGGGTCATAAGTTTAGATACCCATAGTGACTTAACCATAGTTATAACTGCTGATACCCCCACTCAAGGTGCTTGTAACCTTAGTACGTCCCATGACCCTCCAAGTAGTGGAGTAATGAAAGTCTTGGCTAACACCCCGTTGCCGCGCAGGAACTATCCTTGCCCTCCTGTGGGCGGCAACTTGACTTGGAGAGCAGACATGGGAGTTTCCGAAAATTAGGGGTACCTTATCTTGGGGTCCTTACAATAAGGACCCTACTATATAGGGTATTATATTAGGGTCACCTATTTTTCCGTCACTCCCACATGACTAAGACATTCATAAGGCGAAGAACATCAGCAAGGATTAAATGGCCATGTTCGAACGGTAGGGCTTTTGGGGTTTTGGGTTGATTTAGTCTCTGGGTCGCACAAAGTGGTCGGAAGCTGCATCGTGCGCGGTGGCACAACGTGTGTGTACAGTACTTGGAGGCTCATGGGACTTAGTAAGTACAGTTATAAGTACCCTAATTGGCATTATAAGCACATATAAGTGTAGTTACCCTAATCATAACCCTGGTTACTAAGTCCCATGTTCTCTAAGTACCCCACAACCACATGCACACAAAGATCCCATATTCGGGGCAAAATGGCCCAAACGAAGCGGACTTCAATCAAAATACCTATTTCAGAAGACCTGTCCAACAGTCTGCCATAAGTAGTGTAACTCAACTTGCGCCACTCTCGGATGAAAGTTTCCGGATTCTGTACTCTTCACGGGCATACCAAGTTTTTCTCTCTTCTGTTGCAACACACTAACACATGCAGCAGCGCTCTCGCGCACACACGAAGAGTAGCTGTGCCGAGATGCAATCGCACCACGTGCTGCGCAACTCCTTCGAGTGGGAGACACTTCCATGGGAGGCCGTTGTGTTTGGGGCCTTTAGGACCGTTATACAAACCCTAAATCGCCAAACTTTCCTAAAGTCACTCAAGTTTGAAAAGGTACACACGAAATCAGAAGTTATTATTACCCTTAGGCTCTAAGACTCATATTTCAAGGCTTTTAGGCCCAAAGACCATACTATATAAGGCTTCTGGGCTATTTTGAGCCTCAGGGTTAGGGTCAGAGGTCCGTCGCTTCTGCGGCTTCGGAGTTACTGCACGTTAGAAGCGATGTTGCGGGTGTCTTTTCAGGCATTAGGTTTACTATAGCCTCCTTAGGATTTATGCTGTATTTTGCTCATATAAAACGCAAGAGAATATTAAACCTACTATTTGTATTATGGTTCTCATGGGGTATAGTTTAGGGTTCGAGTCTAGCACCAGAATACAGACAGCAGCTGTTTCAGAGTCGTTCTTGAACTTATTGGCTGTGAACTCAACTTTTCAACTTTGGGGGGGGGGGGGGGGGTTCTTATAAGGTAGTCGATTCTGAAAGTTTCTCAACTTTTATTTCCTTGGGTAACCCATATAATATAGGGGCTTAAAACATTACCAATACTATTTTGTGGGTTCCTTATTATAAATACAGTGTAATGGGCCCCAAAACCCTATTCTAATGATTGAGGCCCCTATATTATGGTACCCTGATAGATCCCTTATAGTAACCCGTATAGAGCCCTGTAAAGGAAGCCCTATTCTAACTATTAAGGGGCCCCTATATTACATGCACCTATGGGTTTAGGGCCGCTTGGGGTTTGCATGTGGCGCGGTTTGAGGTCGAGGGGCGCGGTCCTGGGATCTCTTGGGTCATTGGGTTTATAGTAAACCCCATTAAGTTGGAAACCGGATTAAGGCCAAATAGTCCAGGGATCCCCTTATACATTGCTCTAAAGGATTGAGGCGAGTGGGTGTCCAACTTTCGGGCTTCTACTGTAGGGTTTAAGGTTTAAGGTTTAGGGTTTAGGATCTGCCATGAGCGAGGTTTCAAGTTTTAGGGTTCGGGGTTCGGGGGTGTTGATGTATCGCGTTTAGTTGTGGATGTATGGGTTGAAGCTGCGTTGTGCTAGGTTGAGATTTTCCTTTCACGATGAGTCTCTTGCTGGTGTTGGTGGTGTTCGCCTTCGGGTCTACCTTTTAATGGTGCAAAACTCAAGGGGCACTGGCGACTTGTCTTGGTCGAGGCAGGGCTGGCATAGCGACAGGCTCCTGCCACCATCTGAAGCTGCCCCAAGGGGAGGCAACGGCGGACCACCCTAAACCCCAGGCCCTAGACCATGAGAATGAAGCGCCGAAGGGAGACCGGCGCCTGCCTGTCCTTCGGTGAGTGGTTGGGATGCTCCCCCTGGCCTATGCACTGGCTGATGGCTTGGGGTTGTAAATCAGGTACGGCCTCCGGGATCCTTTGTCATACAGCTGATGATATAAATCCTGGGGTTCCTTTAAAGGGATCTATAGGGGTACCTTTACAGGATCTATAGGGTTTTAGGGTTTGGGAGATGATGTAAATCCTGCATTACCTTAAAGGCCCTAAACTATGGGAGTTATGTTAAGTTCCTTATTACGGGTAATGCAGGATTTATATTATCAACCGTACTATAGAATGCCTCAAAACCCTAATCGAATTGTCAAGGCTCCTACATTGTACGTCTTACTTCAAAAATCCTAAATCTAAACCCTAGTTGTTACCGCTCCTTTGGTACAACACTTGAGGCTCGTCGTATAATACAGTACTCACTGGCTTGTGGGAGTCTCTGGAAGCTCTGGAAGCGAAAACCGTCAGCTTCAAGACACTAAAACCTGAACCATAAAACCCTGCTAAGCCCTGATTTCCAAAATCCAAGAAAGAAGCCCGAAAGCCTTAAAGTCGTCTAGCCCTAAGCCCTAATCCCCGAGCCGTCACGTTCCTTCGCTTCGCCGCCAGGAGATTGCTGAGGGTGAAGACGGCAAAGAGCGTAATCCTGAGGACTCCGGTCACAGGCGCTATCGGGTTTAGGGGCTTGGAGTTTAGGCTAAGGCTTATTAGAAGTGCGTACTGTGTTTGAGTTTGAGCTTATAAGTAATTATCGGGTTTGGGTTTTGGGTTAAGCGCTTAGGCATATAACTACTTTGTTTGAGGTCCTAAGTACGGTTAGGTATGGTAACATTATTTATCCCCCACATTGTCACAGGCATCCTCATTTCATATACTGAGCTCTTGTTTTAAGGTTTCGGCTTTAGGGTTTAGGGCTTAGGGACTTAGTTCAGAGTACCATGACGGTCCATAAATCCATCGATATAGTGGTTCCTGCGTGCTTTCTGCGTTCTGGTGGATCCTTTGGGTCCCCAAGTCGATCCAGACAAACTCAGCGGTACTGGCCTCGACATGCATGCTTGTAGGGTACACACGATGTCCTTGCGTCGGCCTTCCCATTCCAGCTCTGTAGCAGGCATTGAGCCCTAAACTCTTAAGCCCTTTTGTATCCCAAAACCCTGAAACCCAAACCCAAAATCCGAATATGTTCACAGCATTTCAGTGGTTCTCCGCATAGGTACATCCAACCGGAGCTGGTGGCGGATTTGCCCGGCAAGTCATCCTAATGGTCGCGAAACAGATGAGGCCGGGAAGGGTTAGGTTCTAGTGTTAAAGGGAACTCCAGAAAGTTGGAATATGGTTTCAGGGTAGGATACCTTATAATTTACCATAAAGGTTTAGGATAACCATATTCCAACTTTCTGGCTTTTACCTTAGGGTTTTTTCAAGGGATCTACTGAAGGATGTTCTTTGAAGGGTTCCTTCGAGGGTTCTGCAAGGGTAGGGGCTCCTTTCAGGGTTCCTTTAAAGGTTTTAGGATATGCGATTGTAAGGTGGGGTGGGAAGGGAAGGTGGGGTGCCAAGAGTTGAGTAAGGGATGCATAGTCAGTCTATAAGGGTTCTTTAAGGAGGATACATTGAGACATGATTTAGGATACTCTAGGCCAGGCCCGGAGTGTACGATTCGACGGTTGAGTTTGAGTTGTCTTAGGATTTGGTGTTGAGAGTCCCAGCAGGAGGAAGCAGGGTTTAGGAAAAACGACCAGATCATCGTCGTCGTCGTCGTCAGCAGCAGCAACAACACGAGCGACATGCATTCACTGCTTGGAAATCGTCTGTTCATGCCAGGCATCCGTCGTTGCTTGGAAAGTACGGTGCATCGAAAGGAGCCCAGATGGGCAACAGTGCGACCATCAGTATCAGGGTCATCCTTGTTGCTTTTAAACCGGATCGTAAGGCTTCATCGTCATACAAAGCAATGACGAGGTCCTCCTCTGGTCGTCACAATGATACAACAAAAGCAGCACGATCTGTAGCAAGCCGCCGTCAAAGTCATCATTTCCGTCAGCACCATCAGGAGTGTCAGCATCATCATCATGATCGCCAACATCAGCATCATCATCATCATCATCATCATCATGACCATCGTCGTCAACATCACCATCAGCAGCATCAGCTTTAGCTTCGTCATCATCATTATCATCACTTCCCGACATGTCCCAGCTCAGAGAATCATCGTCACCCTGATCACTATGACAATCGAGCCATCCCTGGTCACAACCACCATCACAGCAAAATTACCACGTTGACGATCAGCATCAGGTGTCAGCAACCAACAACCACATCAACAGCAACGGCCGCAGAAGCAACACTACTGCTGGTACCAACTCAGACTGCTGCTCCTGCGGCTGCTACTGGTGCTACTAGAATGCTTTTCCCGCTACCCTCAACCCTCAACCCCTGATCTTCCAAGGTGAAGCGCATGGAGCGTCGGAGCATGCAATTGGCTTCGAGTGTGCTCGAGAAGAGGGCACTCCCCCGACTGTTGTGCAATTTTGCCTGAGGCTGAAAGCGTTTAGATTCAGGCTATCTCAGAGCCTCTGCTGCCACCCTGTGGCGCCTGGCTTTTGAGACTCCCATGCATGGCTGCGCACGGGCTCTCTGAGCGAAGCCTCCCTAAGCCACCATTCCCAGATGCAACTGAACTTGTCCCGTTGGGGTTAGGATAGGTGAGGACCTCCGCACCAAGGATGTGTATCCCCACGGTGCCTTGTGTAGAAGGATGTCAAGAACAACTCTCAAGCCTTGAGGTCCTTTTAAATCCCTGCAGAACACCTGTGAAGCCTTCGACAATCGACAACCCCAATCCCTAAACTCTAAACCCCAAGACCCCAAAGCCTGAGAAAAAGACCCCTAAAAGGCCCCACGCCGTCTAGTCCACTGCCGCACATTGCGACCTTTTGACCCTGGAGCTATCAATGCTAATCTGGTCATATGACATTACATATACACATGTAAATGAATTTTGTACTACATCTTGTAAAATCGTGGACAAAAATTACCTGCCATGGGATGTTCTGGAGGCATGTTGACGGCATAGGTACGGTTTAGGCTAAAGGGTTTATGCTTAGTGGTAAAGCTCTAAGTACATACAATCACATCTAGTTTCAATCTTATGGTGTGTTTGTTTGTTTGCGGGGGGGGGGGGGCCGCCACGGAACGGCGGATCCGGGCATACTGTCAGGCCTGGGTTACCATCAGACGGTAAGCAGATTGTTTGCTAGAGGTCCCCATTATGGCAACTTCGGTTGCAGATCGAGCTCAAGGGCTCATATAAGATCTGTCTGATTATACCAAAAATCATTTGCGCTGTACAAGAATCTAACTAAGTGGAACATAACATACTATAACATATCATTGCGAACCATAACATGACAAAGTATAACAAAACCTCGAAACTAAAAGGCCGCAATGTGTGTTTAGACCTCGGGGTGCAGCTGGAGCAGTGTGACCCTAGAGGTTGGAGAGTCCCAGATTCCCCCCGGGAGGATCTAGAAAGTAGATTTAGGGTTTAGGGGTTTAGAGGTTTAGGGTTTAGGGGTTTAGGGTTTAGGGCCGGGATGATCTGGAAAGTAGATCCCCGAATTTGGGGCCCTATACTACTAAGGGTCCCATAAAGGAACCCCCCCATTAAGGGATCTACTTTTGGGATCCTCCTGGGGGTCTGAGGTTCTGTGATTGGGTTAGGGTTTAGGGTTAATAAATCACGGTGATACGCAAAGGTTCATGTAAGAGTTTATCTAGACCAGCTGGATTTGTGAAAAAGGGAGCCATACCTTTAATTCTATGTATTCTCGTTTCAGGTACTTGTAACTGTGTGTTCTCAGTCTCATGAGCCTCTAAGTAGGACCTCATAGGGAGTTCACCGTACTCTGTGGGTATATGAAACATCTACTTGGCGTTCTTCTGGTTGGCTCTTTAGACTTTATCTTTTGGGGTTTCTATATGAACTATAATAAGGAGGCTAAAAGTTTAACTTTTAGGAGGGGTTTAGAAGTCAGCCAAGTAACGTTCGCAGAAGTTGAAACATCTAGGAGAGAACGGGAGCCCTGACGCAGCATTTCTGTTTCTCCGTGCGCTGCGTAGCGACTCAGGCACGTTGACAGTTCTATTGGCGATTAGATTCAGAGGAGTTGGCAGCTCTTCGCGTTCAACAAAATGGCGGCAATGTGCACCTTAACCCCAAGTAACCTACCTTTTTAAGGACATTTGTAAAGAAATCATATTAGGGAGCCCTTTAAAAGGTAGGTTCCTTAGGGTGCAGGTATGATTTCACCAGGCCAAATCCTTAGATCCCCGATACCGATCCTGTACACTTCTTGGGTTCTGCTAAGGGTTTGGGGTTGTCTAGCTTAGGACTAGGAGGAATCGGAAAGTTTAACCTTTCATTTCTGTCGCTTATGGGCCAGACCCAAAGCCCTTGAGCCCTCGACTACAGATCATGCCGCCGTAGAGAGACGGACGTTAAAGCCTTCGCATCACAATAATACAGGCGCCTTGATTGTTAGAATCGGGTTTTGGGGGTTCCTTACTTTTTCTAGTTATGGTATAATATACCCCCAGACCCAATTCTAAATATTACGTCCCCTATACTACACTGGGTTTGCTTTTATGACCGGAGGCCAACCCCGTGTCTATACATTTGTGCATACATGTATTCCTGGTGCTGCTTGTTTTGATTCATCTGTAGTGTATGGTTTAGAATGTGCTTCATTACATGGGCTCTGTATAAAGACATTTGCACACGCGCACATACACCCGACTGTGCTGTATATCAGTGAGTTGAAGACAAGTCTTCTCTGGGCACGACAGCTGACGCCGTGAGGGCATCGGTTTTGATTTAAAGTTTTTGTGGCTTAATAAGGATGTTGGAAGGGTCTTGTCCACCCCTGCGGTGCTACTGCCGTAAAAGATACAGTGATGAACAGCTAAACCTACAGCCCCGAACACGAAAGCCTTGCATCCCAAAACTGTTTGCTCTCAACTCTAAAGCCTCAGAAGCCCTTGGTAAGAACACCTACCCAGACCCCCGGGAGGATCCAAAAAGTAGATCCCTTAATGGGGGGTTCCTATAAAGTACCCTTAGTAGTATAGGGCGCCAAATTAAGGGATCTACTTTCTAGATCCTCCCGGGGGTCTGGGTACGGGTACTATGCCATAAACCGTCGAGTCCTGTTCACCCGAGAATCCAAAAACCCGTTCCAACTACTGGATATGCCTTAGATGCACAGGGACCCTTAGTGTGCTTTAAGGTTTTTTTCCTTTATCAAGGCTTGCGGCCTGCAAATCTTGCAAGTGCCCTTATGGACCCTCGAAATCCCTTGCAATACCCTGGAATTGAATTCTCTGTGCAGGTCCCACCAGAAACCGAGACTGGCAAGGCCGGATACTGTAGGGTTCTGTGGTGATCTAGGCTAAGTTTTGTTCAAAGGGCTTCGGACCTTAACGTAAGAACCCTGACCCTGTAACCCCCCCGCAAAAAAAGTAGGATTCATGTAAGGAGCCCTGGTAAAGGCCCAAGGTGTCTTAGTCAGGTTCCTACACTATAGAACCCCTTAAAGATCCCTTATAGTAATTATAGTACAGAGGAACCCTTAAGGATCCCTGAAAGTCCCAAGGTTTCTTAATCAGGTTCCTACATAATTCCCGGTTTTAATGAGGGGATCGAGAGGTCCAGGGTGCAAGGCTTGAACTTAGCATTTTATCGGTCTTCGTCCTGTTCCATTTAAAGAGAAAAAGAGGGACCCTTAATGGGGAACCCTGGGTCCCTATAATGGGCTACATAATGAGTATATAATAGCTATATTAAGGGTATATACCTAGGGGTCCTTCTTAAGGGTCCCTCCTTTTACCCTTGGATCCCTGCTGCCTCAGGTCTTGAGTCGAGGCTTAGCAGATCCCTTTGAAGGAGCTCGAGGAGTCTCTATAGAACCAATGAGATCCCTTTAAAGGATCCCCATAAACCACAAGGACGATGAGGACCCTTGTAACTTGGGGGGGTAGCGGGGTAGGGGATACTAATATTTCGGACTTGATAAGGCCAATTTAAGGAAGTATACCCCCCCCCTCCCCCCTACCCCCCCCCCTAAGGGGTTCCCTATGGGAACCTTAGGAGACTCTGTGAATCCGCCTCCGACCAGGCCGGCGCCGCCGCGGCAGCAGGTTCTGCGGCGGCAGCTTGCCTGCACTGGTCCCCCACGCACTCCAAATCCCGGCTTACTGCACC